CTGTACCTATAAGTATTCTTGTTGGGCCCAGAGGCTGAGCAAGGATGTCTTCCTTGGTTGTATTCCACCTTATTACTGTCTGTCTGTCTGTCTGTCTGTCTGTCTATCTATCTATCTATCTATCTATCTATCTATCTATCTATCTATCTTTTCAAGTCAGGGTTTCTCTGTGTAGCTTTGGAGCTTGTCCTGGAACTCACTCTGTAGATAAGGCTGGTCTTGAACTCACAAAGATCTGCTTGCCTCTGCCTCCTAGTGGTAGGATTATAGGAGTATGCTTTTGCTACACCCAGCTTTTTATGTAGAAGCTTCAGATCTGAATTCAGATCCTCACACTTGTACAGCATACACTGCTCACTGAGTGAGTTTTCTGGTAAAATTCCTTAGCTAGAGAATGTTACCAAGTCACGTTCTCAGCCCCTATCCAGAGACTGTTAGGTCTGCCAGATCTTTGTCTTTATCAAGAATCTTTAAACTGCGGCCTGTGGGCTAATTCCTGCCTGTTGCCTATTTTTGTATAGACTGTAATGGTTTTCTCTGTGTGTGTGTGTGCTTGTGCTTAATGCAGTTTTGTCTGCGTATGGGTGTAAATGTGCACGTGTGAGTGCACACGCGTGTGAGGGAGGTCAGAGGACAACTTCTGTGTCAATCATCATCTACGCGTGTGAGGGAGGTCAGAGGACAACTTCTGTGCCAATGCTCATCATCTACCTTGTGGTAGTTTGAATGTAACTGGCCCCCATAATCTTACAAGGAGTGGCACTATGAGGAGGTGTGGCTTTGTTGGAGTGGGATGGCCTTGATGAAGGATGTGTGCAGTTGTGGGGGCAGGCTTTGAGGTTTCCTATGCTCAGGATACTGCCCAGTCAGTCAGTTGAGTGTCTGTAGCCTGTAAGATGTAGTACTTCCAGCTCCAGCACCATGTCTGCCTGCATGCCACCATGCTACCCACCATGATGATAAAGGACTGATCCTCTGAAACTGTAAGTGAGCTGCCATAATTAAATGTTTTCTTTATAAGAGTTGCTATGGTCATGGTGTCTCTTCACAGCATTAATAACCCTAACTAAGACAGACCTGAAACATGGTCTTTTCCTGTTCTTTGCTGTGTATGCGAAGCCAACTGACCCATGAGCTTTCCGGGGTTCTCCTGCCTCTGCCTCCTATCTAGTTACAGGAGCACTGAAGTTAGAGGGCTCACTTCATCCAGCTTTAGAAAGGTCCTGGGGACCTGAACTCAGGGTCTCACACGTGCATGGCCCACTGAACGATCTTCACAGCTGTTTTCTTATTTGTTTGTTTTAATGTTTAAGTAATTGAAAATAAACCCAGAATAATTCTGAGTGTGGAGAATTACAAGAATTTAGATTTCAGTGTCTCTAATGAACCTGGAATGAAATCAGGGCAGGCTCACTTGTGCCTAAGCATTACCACAGCTGTTTCAGGCCACAAGGCAGAGGCACACAGTTGCAACAGAGTATATGACCTGCAAACCCTAAAATGTTTATACCATCGGATGCTTCACACAAAGTTTGTGACTTCTGATCTACGGGATACAAGTTTTGATAGATATATCCACCAAATCCCCAGGTTATTATGTAATCTTGGTTTCTAGATCCTTAATATATTTGCCCAGTCAAAGTCAGAATGGCATACTAAATTTTCTTACAGCAAAGGAGTTTTGCCAAGCTCCTTCTTGTACACTTAGCCATTTTTGTTTTATAGATACAATCTCTGTTTCTGAGAGCTAACACTGATAATATATTTCAGTATGGAAAGTCTCCTTTATAAAAATAAAATGCTTTGATTTATTATATATCTTACTTTTGAGTTCTGCTATTTGCTTTTTGTTTTGTTTTTTTCAAGACAGGGTTTCTCTGTGTTACAGCCCTGATTGTCCTGGAATTTGCTCTGCAGACCAATCTGGCCTTGAACTCACAGAGATCCGCCCGCCTCTGCCTCCCTAGCACTAGGATTAAAGGCGTGTGCCACCGCCACCAGGCCGACAGACTGACAGTCATTGATTATCTTTTGCTTTGTGAAAATACATATTCTGGGGCTAGCAAGATGACTCAGTAAAGAGTCTGCCATGTAAGCCAGATGCCAGATGCCCTAGCTTGATCCTGGTGCCCATGCTGATGTGCTGGCATCTGTAAGCTCAGCATGCTTAGGGTAAAATAAGAGGTAGAAATAGAAGTTTAAGGTATGAAGTATAGGGGCAGAAATGAGAGGCAGGAGAAATCCAACTCTTGAAGAGCCGTCTCCTAACCTGTGTACATATGCTGCAGCCTTCACACAGCCTGTCTGTCTTTCTCACACACAAAAGTTTAAAAACCTTTCCCCCTAGAATAATTTCAAAAAATTCAATTCACAATTTCACAATCACACAATTTTAAAAACCGCTAGCATACTGTCCACTATGTAACTAGTGTTCTTAATTTAAGAACACAGAGAACCTCAAAAAATAAAGTAGCAACCACTTATATTGCAGAGATTTTGGCTATCCCAATGTTTATGTACTCTGTGTGGGGCGGGGCGCATGTCATATGTGTGTGAGGGTGAGAGGAGCTGGTTCTCTCCTTCTTCCACACGGGTCCTGAGGCTACAACTCAGGTCTTCATACTCGCTTCGGCAGCACATCTACTAAAATTAAACAATACAGAGAATATCAGCACAGCCCCTGTGCAGGAATGACACGCAAATTTCAAGTGTTCCATATTTGATTTAGCCAGATAGTGGGGCATGCCTTTAATCCCAGCACTTAGGAGGCAGAAGCAGATGGACTGGAGTTTGAGACCAGCCTGGTCTACAGAGTGAGTTCCAGAACAGCCAGGACTACACAGAGAAAAACCAAAAACCAAACCAAAGCGAAACAACTGAGGTCCTCAGGCTGAGAGGCAAGCACCATGACTGGTGGAGTCATCTTCCTGGCCCAGACCTGGATGTTTCTATAGCAGTGGCTCAAAGAGGCATAGAAGGCAGAGAAGAAAACAGACTAACTTGAGATGGGAAAAAGATACATGTCCCAAAGAATGCCTACATACTGCATAATTTGGCAGCTGAATTAAGTTCTGTAGAACATATACATAAAAAAGAAAACAAAATTTAGACAACGCCACATGAGAAGGCTTAAGAGCTAGCTTCCATTGTTTAGTTAGGCTAACAGAGTGTTAATCTGTCAATAAATCCTAGGTTTTATCTACTTTCCCCTCACTTAACAGATTACCTAGAAAAGGAGATTCGGAGATGGCGCAGTGGTTAAGGGTACTTGCTGCTCTTTCAGAGGACCTGGGTTTGATTCCCAGTACCACACAGTGCTTCATAAGTGTCCATAACTCCAGCTCCAGGGGATCTGATGCCCTCTGATCTGACCTCCACAGATACCAAGTACACATGTGGTACACAGACATACAAAAAACACTCATAGATATAAATCTTTTTGCTTGTTTGTTAGTTTGAGACAGGGTCTCTATATAGTCCTGGCTATCCTGGAGCTTGCTATGTAGACCAGGCTGGCCTCCAATTCATAAAGAGCCTTCTATCTCTGCCTCCCAAATGTTGGCATTAAGGGACTGTGCTACCACACTCGAAAAAAAAAAAAAGAAAAAAAAAATAAGCAAACAAAAGAACTTAAACAGCACTTTTTTCTCTTCCCTTGCAGGTATTTGTGTGGTGTTCGTGCATATCTGTGGGTGGGTGTGGCTGTGAGCATGCCTATAGAGGTCAGGAACTGGTATCAGTTATTTCCCTCGGCCACTCACTCTCCGCCATACACACTGAGCCTGGGTCTCTCCCTTAAATCCAGAACTACCAATCTGGCTAATATGGTTAGCTAGCTTGCTCCAGGGATCCCGTTTATCTCACTGTGCTGGAGTCACAGGCAGGCTGCCATGCCTGCTCAGCATCTGCCTGGGTGCTGGGGATCTGAACTCCAGGCCTCATGCTGTATAGCAAATGCACCACCCACTGAGCCATCTCCCCAAGCCTTCAAAGGCATTTTCTGATAAAATGAAGATCACTCAATAAAAACATTGGAAATGGCTGGGAAACGGCTCTTGCTGCCAAGTCTGACCACCGGAGTTTGATCCCTAAGACAAACATGGTAGGGGAGAACTGACACCGGGTGGCGGTGACATGTATACCACACGGAAAATAAATAAGTCTAAAAATAGTTTAGTTTTTAAATTTTAATTAATTAGTTAGTTAACACTATTATTAATTTTGAGACAGGATGTCACTATGTAGCCTTGGCTGGGATCTTGCTATAAACAACAGGCTGGTCTTGAATTCAGAGATCCACCTGCCTCTGTCTCACGAGTGCTGGGATTAAAGGTGTGTGCCACCACTGCCCGGCTCTGGCTCCTTAAGTCTTTTCGTTTGTTTGGTTTTTTTTTTTTTTTTTTTGGATTTTTCGAGACTGGGTTACTCCGTAGCTTTTGGTTCCTGTCCTGGAACTAGCTCTTGTAGACCAGGCTGGCCTCGAACTCACAGAGATCCGCCTGTCTCTGCCTCCCAAGTGCTGGAATTAAAGGCGTGCTCCACCACCGCCCGGCTCATTTGTTTGTTTTTGAGACAGTCGTTTCTCTGTGTAGCCCTGGCTTTCCTGGAACTCTATAGACCAGGCTGGCCTCGAGCTTAAATTTGCTTGCCTCTGTCTCCTAACTGCTGGCAATAAAGGCGTGCGCCACCATTGTTACCTGGCTCTGGCTCCTTAGGTTTTTAAGAGACAGGGTCCCATGTAGCCCAGACCAAGCTCAAACCTGCTATTTAGCTGAGGCTGTCTTGAACTCCTAATCATTCTGTCTCCATCTACTAAACTCTGGGATTACAGAAGTGCACACAAAGCTTCCTGATGATATAATGATAATACAAGAGAGCTGTGTTTTCCTTTTGGGTTACTGATTTGTTTGATACTAGTCTTCCTTTGTAGTTCTTTTTTCCTTAAACATTAGCTCTAGAAAACCCAGTAACATAAGGCGAAAAGCAGATTTCCATCTTACCTGTGTGCTGGATGGAGGTTATCGCCTGGGCATTGCACTGCAGCTGCAGCATGTGCCGCAGCATGGCTAGTCCCCAAGTAGTCAAATCTGCACACAATCCTGGGCTCACTGCTTTCCACTTGGAGGACATGGTTTGGGCCTGAATGCTGGCTGTTTTGAGCTGCCTGCACAGGGCAGAGACACTGATGGCGCAGATGAATCTGTGTTCCGGGCTATGTTTCTCAGTATGAGGCAGAAGGCTGAAGACAGCGTTATAATTACTTTCATACTTGCCATTGACATTACATCCAGGAACTGGGGGTTCACCTATTTTGCTGTTCTCTTCACTCTCCCTCTGATCTGTGTACCTAAATGTCTTGACCGGATTCTTGTTTTCAGGTAAACAGGTATCTTTGTGACCAGTCTCATCACAAAGCATTCTTACAACTCTGTCAACATCTTCAAATCTGGTTAACAGAGTCATCCTCAGGGCAACATGGCAGAAGACCCCAAGCACAAGAAGCAGCCCCCCCAGAGGACACTCTGTGCTATGGTAGCACTCCCATGCCTCCTGCATACATTCCTGGCTGCAATACCTGGCATAGCTGCACCTGCCACAGGGTACTGTGGCCAAAGTGTGCTTCAGACATCGGTGACAGTAGAGGTCTCCATTGGTAACTCTGGTATCCCACTTGGTCTCTAGGCCATGGTGAAGTGGTGGCATTTCTCCTGGGTTAAGGACACTTACAAAAGCATCTTCCTTCACCAGGAGTTCTCCCGGGAGAATGTCTTTTGTGGCAACTAGATGGCGGCCTTTCAAAGGGTCCATGTGTAAGCTGACAGACAGCGATGCCCCAGAAATCTCTTTGTTCTCTTCCTCTAGGGCCATATCCTCAAACGCTCTGGTGAGAGCTGCTGGGAAGGTTTCTGGGAGACTCTCCTTCTCTTGGATCTTCATTTTCAGGTGATGGAGGTTCCTCTGCAGAATCTGATGAGAGGAAGGCACCAGCATTGGCTTGGCAGCAAGGCTGCTTTCAAGATCAGTGATGGTTTGCCTCGCCTCCTGCAGTCTCCCGAGGTTCACCAGGCACTCTGTCTTGCGCAGCATCATCTTGGGTTGCAGTCTTTCAGGATACCCATGCACACCTGCTCTCACTATGTCTTTAAGACATGCCTGAAAACAAAAAGGAATTCCGGAATGACTCCCAGTTTCTACTTTCCCCTATGTACTGAAAACTGAAAAGCCACAGGCATGTAAAGGGTCACAATAGTGGACAATTTCAACTGAGAGCTTAGGCCTTAAACTACACCCTCCATTCTGCTTCCTAACATTTCTTCCCTCTTCCCTTTCCCCTTCAAGTATATTTTGAAGCCAAAGAAACATGTATTCACTACAAATGAGTAAGAAGTTAGGTGTGATCTTATGCAAGCAAGTTAAGTTTTGTAAAGTCTTTTGTTTTCTCATCTGAAAGAGATGGTACATCAACAGGTCATTTTAGGAATGAGATAAAGTAATATATCTTAATGATAAAAGGAACTCATGGATGTGTCCAATAAATGGTTATAATTATTAGAAGTAAAACAGGCAATCAATATAGGAAGGTGATAAAGGGATAAATGCTTCCTATGTTCTTCTAAACCTGTCCTTAGGAGTCCAGTCTTTCTTCCATAGGACCCAGAGTCAGATTCTTGAATCTTTTTTTATTATTTAGAGAATATTTTGTTATTTTCTGTAATCAAACTCATGTAGATAAGACTGAATATTTAATTCAGTGCATCACATATGTATAAATGGAAAAATTAAGTTTAATGTGCCTAGACGAATATGGCTGTTGATTCCTGTACAATGCCAATTTAACATGGTAAACTGGGATGCTTTTTTCCGAAGCTGAAAGCACAGCTAAAGCTGCCCCAAATTCAAACTTTACACACACACACACACACACACACACACACACACACACACAGACCCCTCTCCATGGCCTGTGGACAGTGCCATAGCTTTTTCTTGTCAACTAACACTGTTCTTTATGGTCTCCTGTGAGAGGGGACATGAGTGAGTAGAAGCAGCTAGGACATAGGCAGGACACCAGCTAACTCAATACTCACTTCATACTGACCCAGATGGAAGAGGGCTGCAGAGCGATTGGCATAGCACAGTGAAATATCCTCTGTGTTAGGCCTGGAATGCGACACTCCCTGAAAAATAATGAGCTGGTTAAAGGAACAAACGGGAAGTAGCGTTTCTAATTTTTTCTGAAAATGAGGGATCTACTACTAAAGACTGAATGGAATTGTAAAATAAAATTACTGACTCTTTTCCAACTACTTCTCTTTCATTTTTTACCTTTTAGCAAATCTTTGAAGATCAACGAGAAAATAAAGATTCAACACTGTATACTGTAGCATCAGATATAGCTTCTGCCACATTTATCAGTTTATCTAGGCTGACTGAACTCACTGTCACCCAGGCTAACTTTGAGTTTATGACCCCACTGCCTCAATTCCCAAGTAGCTGGGATTACAAGCCTGTGTCACCAGGTCCAGTGTAAACGGACCAAACTCTTAATGTAACAAACGAAAGTGTAATAACTCTGGAAGGAACTATGAAGAGTCAAAAGTAATTGTTGGAGGAATCCCTTTCTACGACAATAATACCCAGATGTTGTTGGGTATGGTGGCACATGCATAAATCCCAGTATTTGTGAAGTGGAGGAAGGAGGATTGGAAGTTCAAAGCCAGTTTCTGCTACAAAGTTTGAGGTTATGCCTGGCCACATGAAATCCAGTCAAAAAACAAAACAAAACAAAAACCAGAAAAAATGAAAAAGTAAAACCACAAGAACAAAACTCTAGAAATCATAAAAGAATAATAAACTTGAGTCCATAAGGGTTGGAGATAGAGTTTAGTGGCAAGGTGCTTGCCTACCATATGGTAAGCTCTGAGTTCCATTCCTAGTATTATATGATATATATATATACACACACACACACACACACACACACACACATACATATACACACATGTATATATATATGACTGTCTCATCTCTTATATGCATATGTATTCTTTACAATATAAACAAATCAAGGCAATATTAAAATGTAAACATTAGGCTGAATGTAACTTGTATTATAAACAAAGAGCTAACTTTTTCACTTCAAGTTTCAAAAGGTAAATAACAAGTCAACTGACAATTCAATAAAAATACGCAAATGATACCAACAGTTTTTATGGGACATACAAATGACTCTGTTTTTTGTTTGTTTTTTTGAGACAAGGTCTCCTTACGCATGCCTGGTGATCCTGGAACTCACTATGTAGACTAGCGCTGGGATTAAAGGTGTAGACCACTTGGGATGCAGAGGCAGGTACTCTCTGTGACTTCTAGGCTAGCTGAAATACTTTTTCACCCATGAGTTTGTCTAAGAAAAATAAAACCAAGAACAGACTACTCGACAAAGGAGTGGGATAATGGGCACTCTCACTATGTTGTGAGTGGTAGTATAAGCTAGTCTAAAAACTAGTGATACAATTTAGTGATATATAGTAAATATTTTGGGGTAAAATGCTAGGTTTAAAAGCCAGAGCATCATGAATTTTAGGTAAGCATTATAACTGATCTATGTCCCCCCCCACACGCACATATAAATATACACACACACATATATACATATACATACACACATATATGATGAAGATGTCACAGTGAAGCTCATTCTTTTATACTGAGCATGGGGCATGGTGGTGCACACCTGTAATCCCAACACTTTGGAAATGGTGGCAGGAGGATGAGGTTTAGCTGCACGAGAGTTTGAGGCCAGCTTGAACTACTATGCTGCCCAGACTAGCCTTGGCTCCTAAATTCATGATCTTCCTGCTTCAGTTCTCAAGTAACTGGAGATTAATGCCACTATACTGGGCTGTTTTTATTCACCTATATATGCTTTATATACAGTATATTTAACAAGGCTAGCTTATGGGGATGGAAATGAGGTTAGATTAGGGGACAGAAAAAGAAACCATACTGCATATTCTTGCAACTTTTTAAAAATAATTTATTTTTATTTTATGTGTATCGGTGTTTTGCCTACATGTATGTCTGTGTGAGTGTTGGATCTTGGAATTACAGACAGTTGTGAGCTGCTATGGGAATTGAACCCGGGTCCTCTGAAAGAGCAGTCAGTGTTCTTAACCACCAAGCCATCTCTCCAGTCCAGTATTCTTGCAACTTTTGAAATTGAACTATATGAACATATTTCCTATCCCCAAAATAAAGGAAGGATACTAACAAAAATTAATATATAATAATAACCAATGTTGCTTACAATATGGAGAAAAAAATTCTCATATTCTGTCAGAATGGATGTTAACTAGTTCTTTCCTGGACAACAATTCAGCATCAACATCAAAGGCTTGAAAATGCTCCCTTTGACCCAGTGCTTCACCCTTCTACTAATTCAGCCTAAACAGAAATCAGTTGTACATAAATATTTATACAGAGAGATGCTTATTATAGCATCATAATGTCAAATAATATGCCAATATTAGATGTTAAATTAAGTACATTTCTTCTCTGTAATAGAACACTGAGTTAGTCATGGAGAATTACTTAGAGCAGAAAATTTAATACCATGAGAAAATGGGTACAATAAATTGTTGAAGAGAAAGAGCAGTTACAACACAGTAAGTACAGCCATTACCCCAATTTTGTAGAAGAAGAATCCATTCTCACAGGAGAAAGGCCGGCTGGCTGGGTGTAAGCAGAAATGTTAACAGTACTTATCACTGGTTATGACTTTTTTTTTACTCTTTATACTTCTCTATATTTTCCAAAGTAACATTTATTACTTTTACGGACAAAAACAACAAGCATTACTTTAAAAAGAAAGAAAATAGCAGCTCTCTATAAAATTGCAAAGCACCATAATCACCAAAATACCAGCTTCATGAAATAGGAAGTGCATCTCCCTCTCCATCTAGCAAACCTTCATTTTTTTTTTCCTTCTTGAGACAGGGTCTTATATAGCCTAGGCTGATGTCAAACTCATTCTAGAGCTCATTTCATTTTTAAAGTTATGTGCGTGTGTGAGTGTGGGTGTCTGTGAGGGCCAGAAGAGGGTTTTGGATCCCAGAGGTGGGTGAACCAGAGCATCCATGGCCTTTGCAAGGGCAGCCAGTGCTCTTGAGCTCTAAGCATCTCTCTAGTCTCTCCTTTATTATCATGTTTTCCTTGGACAATTTTCTGTAGGATCACGTTTAGGATGTAAAGGCATAAAACTGAAGCCAAATACTTTACACCATTATAAAGTAGGGCTTTTATATGTTTGTAGAGTGGCTATTGAAGCTTTGATAGTTTTTGGAAAACTAATTCCAAGTGTTGAATATTGACTTTTTAAAGGTGCAGAGGAATACAATACCCCACTTCCAGTGCTGGGAATCAAACCTTGGGCTTCATGCATGTTGGCAAGTGATGTCACATGGAGATATACCTCACTTTCACCCCCTTACATTCTTTTCACCCCTCTTAAGAAAGGGACTCATACAGTTCAGGCTAGCCTCAAACTTGTTACAAATCTAATACTGGCCTTCTACTCTTGATCTTCTTCCCTCCCTGAAACCTGGATTACAGGAGTATGCCAACATGCAGATCAAGAGTCTGATGTAGTCTTGCTTTAAGCCCAGACAGATCTCTGAAAAAGCAGCAGAAGGAATTTTCTCAGGGTACCATGGAAACAAATGAATGAACAGACGCCCATTCTCCACACCCATATGTACCACATGTGCACACACATGCATGGCAGCAACAAGACTCCCAAAGGCTGATAAGACAAGAAGTGGCAAATAGGGCTGGAGAGAAGGCTCAATGGTTAAGAGCATGGCCTGCTCTTTCAAAGGTCCTGAGTTTAATTCTCAGTAGCCGCATGGTGGCTCACAAGTGTCTATAATGAGATCTGGTGCCCTCTTGAGGAAGAGACCTGGTCAGTCATCCTCATCAACTTAGACCATAAAACCAAATATGGGCTGCCTATGCATGCTTCAGCATAGCCAGGACATAAATTTCAATTTCAAATTCAATTTCAACATGGAAACAGGTCAGTAAGAGTAACACAAAAAAAAGCCATGATTCTACTTCAAAATCTAGCTTGGAGGGGGTGGAGAGATGTCACAGCAGTTAAGAACACTGGCTGTACTTACAGAGGACATGGGTTTGATCCCCAGAACCCACATGGTGGCTCATAACAGTCTGTAACTCATTCTAGTTCCAGGGGATCTGATGCCCTCTTCTGGCCTCCTCAGGCACCAAGCACGCATGTGGTACACAGACATACATGTAGGCAAAAACAAATACACATAAAATAATAGTAAACATAGCTTGATCATGTTTAGTGTAATGTAAAGTATCTATTGCCTGCCACTAATAGTAGCATGTTAACTGATGGACCAGGAAGTGGTTGCACACACAAGCAGATCTCTGTGGGTTCAAGGTCAGCCTGGTTTACCAAGTGAGTTCTAGGACAGCTAGGGCTACACAGTGAAATCCTGCCTCAAAAAAGAAAAACAAAACAAAACATGACCAACTGTTGAGAAATATTAGTTGAAGATGTGTTTGTTTAACTCTGTGAAGCTGGGTTACTTTTCCTGTCTAAAATACCTGATTGGTCTGATCAAGAGTAGAATGGCCAAAGCTAGGCAGGAGAAAGGATAAGTGAGCAGGGATGGCAGGTAGAGAGAATAAATAGGAGGAGAATTCTTGGAAGAGAAGATGGGGAGTAAATGAAGAAGGTGAGAAGGATATCAGGGCGAGCTACACAGGAAAGCATGGTGTAAGTAAAGGAAGGTATACAGTACAGAGGCAAAAGGTAGATAGGATAATATAAGTTAAGAAAAGTTGGCTGGGGTCTGGGTGGTTGTTGAAGGCTGCAGACCCCTGACCCCTTGACTTTCTTTGCCTGCCTCAGACTGTTTGCCTGCTGGATTGAAACAACTTGTCTACCTGTGCCTGCAGCTGCTCTGAGCACAAGACCCTCATGAGTTCCTGATGGCAGGGGAGCGAATTCTGGTGGGTTTTACAGCTGGAAATTCCAAGAGCTTGGGCGTAGCTATCAGTTAAGGATCCCTATATAATTTTCCCTGGAGCACAATAAAGTTGGCATTCTTGTTTCAAGGATAACCTTGTCCCATGTCTCTGTCTGTGTGCGTGTGTTTTTAAATCTCCAGCCTAGTTCCTGGTGCTACAGGTGGTGGTGGCACATACCTTTAATCCCAGAACTTGGGAGGCAGAGGCAGGTGATTTCTGTGAGTTTGAGGCCCGCTTGGTCTACAGAGCGAGCTCCAGGACAGGCTCCAAAGCTACAGAAAAACCCTGTCTCAAACAAAACAAAACAAAAACAAGAAACAAACAAAACAACAACAACAAAAATGAAAAGCTGGCTGGGGCTGAAGAGATGGCTCAGTAGTTAAGAGCACTGGCTCCTCTCCCAGGGGATCCAGGTTCAATTTCTAGCATCTACATGATAGCTCATTACTGTCACTCAAGTTCCAAGGGATCTCACACTCTTACACAGATATACAAGCAGGCAAAACACCAATGTACATTAAAAAATACATAAAAAAAAGCTGGCTAGAAAAAAGCCAAGCTAAGGCTAAGCATTCATAAGTAAGAAAAAAATCTCTGTACATCTTTTGGGGAGCTGGGTGGCGGGCCCCCAAAAGTAAAAGAGTAAAACAACCAACTATAACCAATGGAACCTAGTTTAGTTGGGCTACAGAAAATCCACTTGTTTTCTTTTTTGACTTTATTAAGTCATTTTGGTTGTTTATTTTACTGAGACATGATCTCACCATATAGCTGAGGCTGGCCTGGAGCTTATATGCAGATCATGCTGGTCTTGAACTCATAGAGATCCACCTGCCTCTGCTTCCTGAGCACTGAAATTAAAGGTAAGTGCCACCATGCTCAGCCTAAGTTACTATGGTTGTAAGCTAGCACGTGGTTAGCTAAAACATCTAACTGTTCACTAAATTAGGACTATCAAGCTAAAACTTTATCAGTTTTTCAGACAAAAGAGACAGTGAGAACTGTCATCTGGTAAAGCAGGGTAAAGGGCCAACAAGCTTATGACTACTATGTGTCTGGAGGAACAGAGAGAATCTTCCAGAAATTCAGGATATATAACTATCTTTTGTTTGAAAATATAATCATCAACAAAATTCTATCAAAATCCCCCTAAATCCAAACAATGTAGATGAAAAACAAAACACAAACCAATGGCCATGAAACTCAGCACCATTCTCTAGCTTGTGCACACACACGCCTGCGCAGCTGCTGGCTTGGACGCACGTTACCTTAGAGTACAGCACTGCGGCGCCTGTGTAGTCCTTCTCTTGGAATTTTTTGTTTCCTTTTTCTCTGTAGAAAAGGGGAGCATCATAGTCCTTTTCCACCAAGTAAGCACTAGAAAGCCGCTTTAAAAACACCTCATCTTCGGGCCTTTGTGAAGAAATAGGGAAACAAACAAAAGGGAGAAATCTGTTATTTCGAGTAAGGCTCTGCAATCACTGTACATGAAATTGCAACAAGTGGCTGAGAGCAGTGCACACAGGGCTGTGTGCTCTATGTAATCCACCTGGAGGGTTCTTCCTGTCTCAGAGACACAGGACAGGGATACCCATTTAGAGCTGAGAGCATTAATCTCTGACTCTTATCTCATACTTAGTGGTCAATGAATCATGCCTTGGAACACACATCAAATAAAGCCTGGGTGTAGAGAATGACATAATACACGGAATCTTTGCACGGAGGGGTGCTCTCCAGTTACACTGTTGAAAATACTAGGCGGGCCGGGGAAATGGCTCAGCAGTTAAACACATATAATACTGGTCATCAGAGGACCTGGGTTCACTTGGCACTCACATCAATCAGATGCCTTACAACCATCTGTAACTCCAGTTCCAAGGGCATCTTACACCTCTGAGGACACCTGCACTTGTGTACATAACTCACATGCAGGAGCATGCATATAATTTAGAACAATAAAGAAATTAAAAAAAAAACAAAAAAAAACAAACCCTGAAGATTTGGGCATGGTGGTACAGACCTGTAATTCCAGCCATCAAGAAACTGAGGCAACAGGATTACCTTAAGTAGAAGACTAGCCTGAGCAAGACAGTTTTCAAACAGGAAGGTGCGTGCACGCACACACGTACAATGTTAAAAGTGTGTATGTTTGGGCAACTAGATGGCTTGACTCAGAAAAGCACTTGTTGCTAAACTTGGCAACCTGAGTTCGATCCTGGGACCCAAATGACAGTAGGAGAGAACTATACATGGTTTTCTGATTTCTACATGAACACAATGGCATGTATATATACCTGTGCACACACATAACCACAAAAATTAAATAATTTGGGGGCTGGAGAGATGGCTCAGTGGTTAAGAGCATTGCCTGCTCTTCCAAAGGTCCTGAGTTCAATTCCCAGCAACCACATGGTGGCTCACAACCATCTGTAATGAGGTCTGGTGCCCTCTTCTGGCCTGCAGACATACACACAGACAGAACATTGTATACATAATAAATAAATAAATATTTTTTAAAAAAAAATTAAATAATTTAAAAATACTTGCTGGGTGTGGTGATGCATGCCTTCAACCCCGGAATGTGGGAGGCAGAAGTAGGTGGGTATCCGTGAATTTGAGCTCAGCTTGGTCTACACAGCAAATTCCATAACAGTCAGGGCTACACGGTGATATACTGTCTCAAAATAAACAGATAAATAATTAATGGGAACTGGAGAGATGGCTCTGTGGTTTGGTTCCCAGTTTACCACCATCTGTACCTCCAGTTCCAAGGGATCCAACATCTCTTTCCTGGTTCCCACAGGCACTAGGTTTGCACACAGTGAACATATATACATGTAGGTAAACCACTCACACACAGAAAATAAAAATAAATTCAAAAATGAAATAGCACCTTTCTAGTTTGAAATAACTTCAGGTTTACTCACAAACACAGTCTAAAGAATTGCTGCATTGTGCCCTTCCAGACTGCCTAAGTGCTGACTCCTCCACACCCACTTCGGGACCCCTCCTCTGGGCTCACCCAAGGGCTTCCACAGTTTGAAAGGCATGAGCTATTACTCCCAGCTTCAGTGTAGTTTTTTCTCTTGGCACAGAGTCTTTGCACTACACAGGCCAGCATCAAACCCAAAACCCTCCTTCCTCAGCCTCCCAAATGTTGGTAAAAGGTTTTATTTTCTTTTTAAAAAAGATTTATTATTATGTGTACAGTGTTCGGTCTAAATGTATGCCTACAGGCCAGAAGAGGGCACAAGATCTTACTACAGATGGTTGTGAGCCACCATGTGGGTGCTGGGAATTGAACTCAGGACCTCTGGAAAAGCAGCTAGTGCTCTTAACCTTGAGCCATCTCTCCAGCCCCAGATTTTCTTTTCTTTTTTCTTCTTTTTTTTTTTTTTTGGTTTTTCGAGACAGGGTTTCTCTGTGGCTTTGGAGCCTGTCCTGGAACTAGCTCTGTAGACCAGGCTGATCTCGAACTCACAGAGATCTGCCTGCTTCTGCCTCCCGAGTGCTGGGATTAAAGGCGTGCGCCACCAACGCCCGGCCCAGATTTTATTTTCTTAAAAAATATTTTTATGTGTATGTGTGTGTGTGCCACATGTGTGCAAGTTCCATGGAGACTGAAAGAGGGTATTGGCTTTCCTGGAGCTGGAGTTACAGGCAGTTGTGATCCAACTGAGGTGGATGCTGGCAACTGAACTCAAGTCCTCCAGAAAAGCAGCAAAGAACTGCTGAACCCTCTCTTCACTCCACAAACATCTCATATAGTGAAATTTGACCTGATGTATTAGTAAAAAATACACACATGTGGTGGTTTGAAAGAAAATGGCCCCCAAAGGGAGTGGCACTATTAAGAGGTGTGGCTTTGCTGGAGTAGGTGTGGTCCTATTGGAGGAAGAGTGTCACTGTGGGGGTGGCTTTGAGGTCTCCTAAACTTAAACTATGACCCAGTGGAAGACAGCTCACTTCCTATTTCCTGCAGACCGAGATAGAGAACTCCAGCACCATGTATGCCTACACGCTGCCATGTCCTGCCAGGATGATAATGAACTAAACCTCTATAACTGTGAGCCACCCAATTAAATGTTTTTCTTTATAAGAGATGTCATGGTCAAGTTCGAGGCCAGCGTGGCCTACAAGAGCTAGTTTCAGGACAGGCTCCAAAGCTACAGAGAAACCCTGTCTTGAAAAACAAAACAAAAAAAAGTTGTCATGGTCATGGTGTCTCTTCATAGCACTAGAAATCCTAACTAAGATAACATACAAACCACCAAATATTATATTGTTAAATGAGGAGAAATAGTATAGAATAACCGATATTATACTTTTGTAACACAATGCTATAAAGTAAAATATGAATAAAAGTAAGAACAAAAAAAAAAAAGACAAGACGCTGGGTGTGGTGGTGTATGCCTTTAATGCCAGTACTCAGGAGGCAGAGGAAGGTTGATTTCTGGGAGTTTGGGGCCAGCCTGGTCTAGATAGAGTTCAAGGCCAGCCAAAGCTACACAGTGAGACTGTGTCCAAAGACACATAAACCAAAAAAGTAACTCCTGTCCCCCAAAGACAAGAAAAGGTAAAATTTCTCTCAGGCAACTTCAGTCAGAGAAGGAATTACAAACAAAACTATAGATCTATAGATTTTCTTTCTTTCTTTCTTTCTTTTTTTTTTTCTTTTTGTTTTTTCGAGACAGGGTTTCTCTATGTAGCTTTGGAGCCTGTCCTGGAACTCACTGGCTTTAGACCAGACTGGTTTTGAATTCACAGAGATCTGCTTGCCTCTGCCTCCCGAGTGCTGGTATTAAAGGCATATGCCAGCACCGCCTGGCCCATATTTTTAAATAATAAAGTTGATAAAACTATTATTTATTTATTTATTTATTTATTTATTTCTGAGACAGGGTTTCTCTGTGTTGTCCTGGCTGTCCTGGAACTCGCTCTGTAGACCAAGCAGGGCTTGAACTCACAGAGCTTCACCTGCCTCTGCCTCCCGAGTGCTGGGATTCAAAGGTGTGCGCCACCACTGCTGGCTATTTTAGACATTTACTTAGTGCATGTGTGTGTGTACAAGCATATCATGTATGCCACAGCATGCATATGGAGGTCTGAGGACAATCGTCTGGAGTTGGTTCTCTCTTTGGGTTCTAGGGATCAAATTCAGGCTGTCACACTTACATGACAAATGCTTTTCCCTACTAGCCAGCTCAGTATCCCCACCTACTCCCTTTCTTTCAGAAGGGGTCTCTCCCTTTGCTGTCCAGGCTGGCCTATGACTCACAGCAATTTTTTCCTCTTGTCTCAGCTTCCAAAGTGCTGGAATTCTGGGTGAGCGCCACGACTAGCTTCACCACTGTCTTTCTCATCATCCCAAATGGAAATATACCATTAACTCACCATTCTGCCTTCTCCCCAGTTCCTTGTAAAACCCTTCCACCATCTACATCATTCTGGTGGGGGTTCTTTAATTTTTTATTTATATATTTATCTGTATGTATATGTGTACCAGGGTGCATGTGTGGAGATCAGAGGACAATTTGTGGGAGTTGGTTTTCTTCCACTATGTGGTTCTCAGGGGTTGAGGTCAGGGGGCTTTAGGTTTAGTCCCAAGTGCCTTTACCCACAGAGTCATCTTGCTGACCCTATTACAGGGTCATATAATGTTATGATATATAGATATACTATGATATAGAGAGCATATGATATTATGGGGGAATGGATGAAGTTCTGTGAAAACATGTTCTATTGACATGGCTGTACCTCAGACCCATGGGAACTGGCAATGCAGACCTCTGATCCTGATAGTGTGTCCTAAAACTAGCAATCACAGCTTTCTTTTCTGGGATGACTGTAACCTGAGACTGCTCCTCTACAGAGCTCTGCCCATCAACACTAGCTAACCTGACGCTTATACTGTACACAATAAACAGGCTGAGTTTCTAGGTTGTGGCATAGTAGATGCCTTCCATCAGACAGCACAGCTCGCCTATTAGAGTCTTTTTGTACATATGTCTATCCTTTTTCAGGTTTCCAGAACCAAACCTTCCTGGATGGAGCATATTTGCTTTTTTGTTTGTTTGTTTTGCTGTGTGTGTGTGTGTGTGTGTGTGTGTGTGTGTGTGTTTGTTCAACATGCTGCAGCATGTCCCAGAATTTCACTGTTTAAGAAACAGTTGAGTAATATTTCATTATCCATTCTTGTGCTGGTAGACATTCATGTGTGTGGTGGTTTGAATAAGAATGGCCCTCACAGGGCTGGAGAGATAGCTCAGCGGTTAAGAGCACTGACTGCTCTTCCAGAGGTCCTGAGTTCAATTCCCAGCAACTTCATGGTGGCTCACAACCACCTATAACGAGATCTGGTGCCTTCTTCTGGCCTACAGGCAGGATACTACATAAATTAATAAATAAATGTT